ATTGCAAAATTTAGGAGAAACTATTATTATTTGATCGCATTTGATGGTGTGTGTCAAGAATCAAATTGTATCGTAAATCATAAGATTCATATATGATCAATAAAAACATAACATATATATATATATATATATAAATGAATCAAAATGATAGATTACAGAAAAATGAAGAAAAATTAACTTGAGAAAGAGGTTGATCGCAGAGAATCAAGTCTCTAGTCCATTTTTAAATAGATAGAATTGTAGTAATATGGAGCAAAACTTTTTGCCTAGTTACATAGATGATAGAGGATGGGATCCAATATGTCTTTTTGTCAATTAATTTGGATTTTTTCCCCTTAAATTATCACTTTCCTTTCTAATTCTTTTTAAAGTGTTATTTGTGTGTTTGAAAAAAAAAGTTATTACAAAATTTTAATTTTAATTTAAATGTCTAATAATACACAGTAATATTAATTATAAATTATAACTATGCAAAATAAACATTTATTTTATATATTATACACGTTAAAATATTATTATAATAATCATTACTAATAAAATGACTTATATTTATAGATATTTTATTCTTGCAAATATGATAATTGCAGGTAAAATGAAAAATTACTTCTTATGAAAAACTTATTTTATTTAAATTTCAAATATGTGTACTTATAATAGTTTGTTATAAGTAAATTCTAAAAAAAAATTATTACTATATAACTCACACAATGAACGAATAAGTTATATGTAAATTAATATAAAATAAATATTTATTTTCAAATTTTTTATTTTTAAAATTTTCTTACCAACCACTAAAATTTATTTTTAATAAATTATTTTGAAAAAAAATATTTTTAAAAATTAATTTTTAACAATAATGTTTCTAGAAATTTTATGAACCTTTCCTTTGTTGCAATTTTTTATATCTGTTTTTAAAATTAACAATAATTAAAATACATATTGTATTATAAAAAATTATTTATTATAATTTAAATATTAAAAATGTATTTATTACAAATTATAATTATAATATGACTTAAGTATTTTAAATATTATTTATTGTAAATTATAATTATAATATATATATATATATAATTAAATATTACACTTTTTTTTAATTTGATGGCAATTGCAATTATTAAAACATGATTTAGTTGTGTTGACTGTTACAAGATGGATCACATAACAGACAACTACTATAATTTATTAGAGAAGCAGCGTGTCATTGACCTCATGGTTTTCGACCGCACCCTCACTTTCTTCTTTGCACCATATTTTATTTTTGGAAAATGTTAACTAGTGTCTTTTTTTTTTTTTTTCCGTCTTTTTAGAGTATCCATTGCCGATAGCGATGACTAATCTCCTTGCTACGTTGGAGGTACCTCGAAGGGTGGGATAGTTGGCTCCAAGTCCCTGATCTTACTTAAACGTGAATTAACTCATACCACTAAATCATACGTTTGGTTAACTAATGTCTTTTAATATATTGATTAAGAAATTTAAAGTAAAAAATTATTAAAAAAAATGTATTTACGTTTTTTTTTCGTATATCTTTATTTTAGTTTTTAATAAAAAAACTTTTTACTGGTTCATTCTTTAATTAATGATCCTTTATTTTTTA